TTTTTTTTTTTTTTTTTTTTTTTTTTTTTTTTTTTTTTTTTTCTTTGAAGAAGTGGTTTCGTTTATTGGGAATTTGTCAGATGGACTGAATGAATTTTTCGTGTTCGAATTAATTTTGATTTTAACCGACTCTGTGATTGTTTTCTTGAAAGAGTAGCTTTGTTCGGTTGGAAATTTGTCAGAATTTCGGTTGAATTTCTCGTGTAGGTATAATAAATTAGCTTATAATAAAATTAACTTTGACCGTTTCCTCGAAGGAACGGTTTCGTCTCTTGGAAATTTGTCAGATGAGTTGAAATTTTCATGAGATAATATCTTCGAATTAACATGTCACACGAAAAGTTGGATTTACGTTGATTTGTTCGGCCGTTATTCCTCGATTCGAGATCCTCGAGTATCGTTATCGAAGCTTATTGTATCTTCTCTCTGTTTCTCTGCACTCGGAAGAAACATTTTTCAGGAACGTTCAATTTTATTTTATTTTTCAAATCAACATATGGATCCATTCTTCTTGCATGATAATGAAAGACCCCATACCTCGCTGAAACTTTCACAGAGTCAGGTTACAAAATTCCTCCTCGCTCCTCAGTATTCCTTAGATATCTTTCCAACAAATTTCCACCATTTCAGAAGTTTGGCATCATTCTTTGGAAAATGTTCAAAGCCTATAATTCAAAGGTTCACCGTTTTGAAAACCTAAGTCTTCTTCGAAAAGAAGAATCCCATTGGAAGACTATGGTAGATGCAAGTGGCGCCTGTTTTGATATAATATAATTAGAAAATAATTTTCAAAAATATTTAACGTAAACTGTATTCATGATGATATGACCTAATATTTTGCAAATTATTTTCTTGTCGAAGTGTTTTGATTCGAGTTAGATTTAATGGATCGTAGACTGTCGAGCAACTTCAAGTAATCTTGCAAATAATTTCCTTATCAAAGTGATTTAATTTACAGAGTTTGTTAGATAATTGATATCTCTAATGAACCTTAGACTTTCGTCCCATTTTTCTGTCAATGTTGTTTAATGTGTTGAATTAGATTTAATGGATCGTAGACTGTCAAGCAACTTCAAGTAATCTTGCAAATAATTATCAAAGTGTTTGTTAGATAATTGATATTTCTAATGAACCTTAGACTCTCGTCCCATTTTTCTGACAGTGTTGTTTAATTTGTTGAATTAGATTTAATGGATCGTAGACTGTCGAGCAACTTCAAGTAATCTTGCAAATAATTTCCTTATCAAAGTGGTTTAATTTACTGAGTTTGTTAGATAATTGATATCTCTAATGAACCTTAAACTTTCGTCCCATTTTTCTGACAGTGTTGTTTAATTTATTGAAATTGTCTTGGACAGTTCGACTTTTTATAGGGTTATTATCGAATTAAATTTAATTCCAGATTGTCGAGCAATTTTTTTCTTGAAGATTTGATATCAATTTCTTATTTAGAATCATCAACATCCACAGGTGAACTAACTGAATAAAACAAGGCACAGACAAAAGGAAAAAGGTATTTCCTTCCTTCAATTAATTTTAAAGTTGCATCAACCTCCGATTGGTGTGGACTGCTTCAGAATTCATGGTTTCAATTTTCAATGACGAGTATCATTCAACACCATGTTCGCAAGATTTTCTATTTTTAAGCCATCGATCAATATGGTGTATGAAATGTAAAAATATTCAGAACGTTGAAGAATCAAATCTTAATACAATTAACATACGTATAAACATAACTAATATAACATATTAACGTGATTAATATATTTTCTTCGTTTGATTTACATTTTTATTTTCGTACAATTATAATTACATCTCTATTATGTATATGTTATAATTCATATAATTAATATACTTTCCTCGTTTCATTGTGTATCTTCATTTTCTTTATTTTATATTTTGCATTCTTCCCAATAGAAACAAAATTCGAAATAAAATCACGGAAACGATTGATGTGAAGCAATTCACTCCCGAAATTTTCGTGGATTTAATTATAAGAAAGGAAAGGTAGATTTCTAACTTATCAACTTTCGCCATTTATCAATATGGCAAGGCCTTTGAAAACCTTCGTCTGCATGGAGACTGCAATAGATTCGCCGGAGAAGGAACAAATCGAAATTTCACAAAAATTGGGAAAAGTCGCGTGATTGTAAATTTACCGCGGAAAGTGTTGTTTTCAACGTCTGAAGGAAGGAACAACTCGCTCTCTCTCTCTCTCTCTCTCTCTCTCTCTCTGACTTCTCTCGTTGGAGGGATTGGCCTCCCTTGACTCCTCGGTCAAGTAAACCTCGCGGGGCGGTTTAATTGCATCGTTTAATCGCGGCAGGCGGGCCGCGCGGATTAATTATTTAAAGCCCCTTAGGCTAACGTCGAATTAATGGACACGACGCCGCAATGCCACCGCGGCATCGATAATTCTGCAGTTCTGCGGCCTCTCCCATTGGCCCTGGGACGCGTGCCACTCGTGCAACACCAAGCTGGCTAGAGCTGACTGGTCGGTACAACGTATCCGAAACCGATACTCTCTGAAACCTACTCTCGGCCGTCTTTCTGACGATCTGTGTTCGCGCGGTTGCTTTGCCTCCCTCCTTCAGAGGGAGAGGCAGAGCTCCGCGGCACCGATCGATCGACTTTACGTCCCCTCGTCGTCACGATGATCTCTCGCCGTTTCCAAGTTAACGAAGCGGAAACGTCTCGCCTCGGTCGTTCAACTCACGCTGCCAACGTCGTGTCAACGTTGTTTGTCGCGAAGTAGTCATCTATCTGCGCCGTCCGTTCGAGTTTCGAAAGGGATGATGCTCTCCCTCACGAGTAAATAAATATTTCACCTCTCCTCCCGACTTCTCTCGCTGCCTTTTTTTTTTCTTTTTCTTTTTACTCGCTGAGAGAGATTCGTAATCGGGAATGTACGACGATCCGGTTAGTCTCGAAAAAAAAAAGAAAAAAGAAATATGGAGCTTGTGCTCTTACCAATCTTGAGTTTTTCTCCTTTTCAAAGACGTTTCTTATATCGTTGAGGAGCAAATTGTAAATATTTAAACGCCTCCGGGATCGCTGAAGAATTTCTTTCATTGGATCTATCGCAATCTTAAAGATCGAGAATCTTTTCTTCATATCAAACTCTTGAAATTTGTCGCTTCGAACGTCAGGAGTTAAATGATTCAAAAATTCAAGAAATCTAAACATTTAACTTCAATGTTTAAAGTTCAATGAAATGGCGAAGAAGCAATCGCAAGTTTTAAGAAGCATTTGTTACAAGGAAACCTTTAAGATTATCTCGTAGATTTAGCCATGGGAAAAATTCTTCAACATTTTTGGAAACGTCTGAATTTTGACAATTTTCGAGGAATGTTAAGATTTCTTAAATTTCCGTCGTTCGATCTTAATAATCTTCAAGGTTGAATGGCCAAAAAGAATCGTATGGTAATTTTCAGG